AAAAAAAAAAAAAAAAAAAGTTCTTTTTAAATGGTTTCTTACTCTAATTTGGATCTGAAATAGCTATGAGTACCATTTTTGAATTTTCAAGATTGCTTCACATTAGGTTAAATGTAAAACCTAATGTGAATTTAGTCATACTATTCCCAAACTCAGTAGGGTACAGTTTCTGTGGTTACCAGACCCTTTGTGTAGTGACAAAGGTTGGAATTCTGATTCTCATGAGTCAAATTTTGGCCTTTGACTCTGTCCCTTTTGCTCACCCTTGCTGAGCTTGGGCTGTTGCTGTGCTTGAAGGCTTGTCAGCTAGCAGGTTCCTATGGTAACAGGGATGAAAATTTGAAAGAAGAAAGAATGGGAACGCAAAGGCTTGGTTGATTTGAATTTAAACAAAGAATGGAAGGTTCCCTGTAGTGCACCTTTGTTGGAGAAACCAGAAATTTAATTTTAGAAAGTTACTTTCCAGTTTGTAAACTTCCTATACCCTGATCTTGATTTAATCAACAAAAGTATTACTGTTTAGGGAACTAGTCAGTAAGATTCTTTTAAAATTCAAAGTTCCTTTTTTTCTACTTCATACAACTTTAATAGTGTTCTTTATGTTATGTATTTGTTCTCAGCTTTTCAGTATTAAGGCTACCTAATTAATGTAGATTTTTCTGAGGTTAAAAATCATTAAGGTTAAAATCAAGGCAGTTGCTAATTGGAAAAGTATTAATATTTTAATTTGTTTTTATATAACAGCTTTATTGAAATATAATGTGTGTACAGTAAACTACATTCATTTAAATTACTCAGTTTTGACAGATCCTGTGAAACCATCACAATCAAGATACAGAACATTTCATCACTTCAAAAGCTTCCTTATACCCCACCTTTTTTTTTTTTTATTGAGACAGAGTCTCACTTTGTCTCTCTCAGTAGAGTGCAGTGGCATCACAGCTCACAGCAACCTCCAACTCCTGGGCTCAAGTGATTCTCCTGCCTCTGCCTCCCAAGTAGCTGGGACTACAGGTGCCCACCACAACACTTGGCTATTTTTTTTTTTATTTTTTTGCCGTTTTTGGCCAGGGCCGGTTTGAACCCACTGCCACTGGTATATGGGGCCGGCACCCTACTCCTTTGAGCCACAGCTGCCGCCCCCGTCTATTTTGTTGTTGTTGTTGTTGTGACTGGCGCTGTAACCACTTTGCTACTGGCCCTGAGCCCCTTATACCCTTTTGTAGTCCACCCCTCTCTCTATCCACTGCTTCAAACAGCCATTGATCTTCTTTCTGTCATTGTTGATGGGTTAGTTTTGATTTTTTAGAATTTTATATGAATAGAATCATCCAGTATCTATTTTTTGTACTTTTTTATGTCTGCCTTCTTTTATCTGGCATAATGATTTTGAGATTGATCCATGTTTTGTTTTGTTTTTAAAAACATCATGCCAAGCTCAGCATAGTTTGTTTTTTTATCTTTTATTTTCTTGAAGATAATAGTCATAGTTGTATGCAGTTTTATCTGTTAATTCCAGTAGCTGGGTCACCACAATGTATTTTTTGTTTGTTTGTTTTCAATTATATTGCCCTGTCTCTTGGACTGCCCAGTATTTTTTTTTTTGGTACTAGATACTATAAAATATTGATTAGGTTCCAGATGATGATATATTACTAGAGAAAAAGTTCACACTTTTTTTGGCTTGGCAGATAAATGGAGGCAGATTTCTTTAATTCAGTCTGGGACTAAGCTGAGTTGAGGCTGGCCTGCAAAGTTGGTAGGTCTCTCTTTCCCCCTGATTAGTCTCTGCCAAGTCTGCTAATAGCAAGCATATAGTCATTCAAGATTGAATGGCTGCTGAAAATCTGTTATGTTCAGTTCCTCTGCAGGACTCAAACTCTAGTTTACGTCTCAGCCTGGTAAGACTTCCAAAACCTCCACTCTTTTCAGAGGCTTTCTACTTAGCTGCTTAGCCTCCTTCCCTGTGCAGCTTCAGAATTTTAAAATATACTGAAGGGAAAACTGGCTCTCTGTCAGGCTTAATCCTTCACACTTCCCCCTTTTCACTTAAATCTTGTTCCTTTTATTTCTAATTTTGTCTCTATAGCCTCTCAAGACCACCTAAAGCTCTACTGGTTTCTCAGTTCTCTGGCATCAGCCTAAGCAAAGCTTGATTCTCAACCTCTTCCTTATGTCCTGTTCAACCAGTGCCTTGGAGAAGTGGCTGCACTTACCAGACCTCCCATCTTTGCTTCCCTGCTTTTTGGGTTTTTTTTTTTGGATTCTTGGTCCCTCTCATTTTTTT